AGCACTTGATCAGTAACCAGAATCAAAGCGATTTTGACTTAATCCTGGCGGAGTTCTTTGGCGCGAAACAGTCCTCAAATCTGGACCCAAGCCAGCCAAGATTTTCTCTCGAGGATATATTTAACATCCGCCTCAGCAATACTGGAACGATTACCTTAAATGTTAGAATTCGGGCCCAGGCAGACGGGAAGTTGATGGCGTTAGACTCCTTGCCTCTCCATGTGGCTTTTCGGTCGGTTCTTGCCGACAGTCAGTGCTCCCGCTACACTGAAATGTGTCCTAAAAACAACCAACATCAGATCGACTGGTCTGGCTGTATTTGGAAGATGACACCACCGAGGTACTTCTGTCCTCCACACCCAAAGTGCAGTGCTGACTTGCAGGTCTCCATAAACGGTGGTGCGAGCTCGCACGTCCCTGTTCAATTTGGACGTCGTGAAGATGCAAACAAAACGCTGACCTTTAACCTGCGTAACAACGGGCCCTCGAAGTCTGAAGGAGTCCGTATAGAACTGAGTTCACTTGGATGGCCAAAAAGCGCATCTCAACCTGGACTGCGTGTGCAGATAAACCGCATTCAATTAAGAGTGGCATCAACGGGCGCACTTGTGGCATCGAACGAACATTCACTAGATCGTTGGTCAGTGAGTATTTCAAGCAACGGCGCGGCTGCACTAATTATTGCTCGTCAAGGCACAGTTATCTACCCAGACCAGGAGTTACTTATTGTTGCGGACATTTTTGTGGCAGGGCTGACAACTTTACGACACGAAGATCAGGAAGATGATGTGGAGGCTGGAGGTCGAATACCGAGCCCCAGGCTCCAGGCAAACGTGTCCGCCGTTGTTGCCGACCCGAGCCAGGAGACGAATCTGGCAAGCGTGACATTCGATGTTGTCTACAAACCTCTGTTACGAATTAACCCGGGAATCGCTCCATCAGCCCTTGTTGACGATAGGAAGGATCCTCCGAATATTGGCGGTGAGTTGGAGTTACCTTTAAGCAGGGAATCTTTTGGTCTGTATAGGAAATTATGAGAATCGACCTGACATCCAGTCTTTCTGTTAGGCGTCTTTACACCTGGGTGTGCAGGGACTTCGGGAGTGGGATTTGGAAGCGGGCAAAGCGTCGCAAAGCATTTGGGCGGTGGCGCATTAGAGCTTTAGGATTTTTTAAGTACATTACACGTTGACATGACCTACAACTGATTGCCCCAAAGAAGTTGTGCTTTGGGCCATTATATCGAACGGCATTATGCCCATGTTTGCTTACGACCAGGTTCGGAGTTTGTTCACCTCCACTTGATGCCTCCCACTTGGTTTTATTGCTCTTTCGAGAGATACGCAATCTCACTTTCCTTCCCTGTAATTTCTGTTTGCCACAAAGTTAAGGAGAATGCGGAAAGGCACAAACTTCATTAAAGATAACACAAGTCAACCGACCGAAAAAAACTGCGATACTCACTCAATCAAGACAAGTGACAGCATAAGTGAATTTCAAACTGTTTGTTTTTCAAGTACATATGAAAGGAGACTGCAACATTTATTAAGATGTCTGGTAGGTTGTTTGGTATTGCGACTTCAAGGTGCTCAAGGGAAGGTGCCTAGGTGATTGATGCCAACGCGTTCCGATTTTCTTCCTTGAGCCACATCGTCTTGGAATGTGCGTCAAGTCGGAAAGCTTGTCTGTTCATTCACCGTGTGGCGAGCACATTTTCCTGTCTCAGTTAGGGCAATGTTTTTATTTCGTGCTAGCCGTCTAAACCACTAAACCGTTGCCACTTGGCTTCTTTGATGTGGCCAGATGTGTCTTTCGGACAAAGGCACTTTTTGACGGGGGTTCGTAATATTCCTGTCCCCAAACAATGTTCTTATCTGGTCGGTGAAGGCGCCCCCTAGGTGGAGTAGGTCAATCTGCAAACGTGTTTGAGAAAAAGCTGATTTGGCTTTATATCGTTGTATAGACGACTGATTCCTTTTTAACACCAAGTTTCTTGATGCATGTTCTCGTAAGCTCAAGCACGTCTTCTATCTGATTTGATTTGAGCAACTTGCAGTGGTAGGCTAGACACATGAAAAATTGCCACACAACAGTCGTCGTTCTCGGTTGTGCACACTTTTCGCCTCCGTCTTTGCCTCGTTAAGTTGCAGCATCGCGAACACCCCTGGCTGCGGTAGCTCCTCGGCGGTAGCCTTCACTCCAACAGACTGCTCTGTTGGCGGTATTGCATTCCCCTTCAGTAAAGTGCAGTTCTGAGGCCGCCAATGAATACGAAGGTTCTACTTAACCATTTCGATTCGCAATTGCCAGACTTGGTGTCGGATGCCTCTTGAGTTGGAATTGCATATTATTGTTGCAAACCTGTTGATTTAATCCGTAGTCAGGTTTGAATCAAAATTAGTTCGGTTTTGTTTGGATCACCTACCTGTTTACAAACATTTCGTCGAATTATAAGTTGCCAATCACATTGGGGCTTAACTCATCTGTTAACAGTTGAATCGGTCTCGATTTTGCAGCAACAACTGTCTATGTTGTTTGGCCTAGTAAAGGACATGGGGAGCAGGTTCGAAATCTTGGCCATCCGATGTTAGGTTAATGCCAAAGCATTTCGAAACTGCCGGCTGAGCCAACGCTTCGGTTACTTTTTCCCTTTTGTTATTCTAAATCACTTCA